CGTTTAGACCAGTAGAACTTACCCACACACGTGCATACCCGTACACGTATTGGGCACATGTATGGGTAATTGTATGGGTAAACACGTGTATGGGTAAGCACGCGTATGGTTAAGCATGTGTATGAGTAAGCACGTTCATGAGTAAGCTCTACTGGTCTAAATCCCATGAGACCATTTCGGCCTGGTTTGAATTGTGGTTCGACTAGCCTTTCCGTTCATGCCTACTTAAACTCTATTTTGCGCCTCTTTATTTTTTTAATCCGTTTGGCGGGAGTATACACTCTATTACTATCTGTGTTTCAAGGTATTACCCGCATTTTACGTAGTTTCTGTTAAACGGTTTGTTGTCCTTCTTTCTGAATCAAAAACGGCCTGAGACTAGATAGCCAGCTTGTTGTTGCACTGCACACACCGGCTGCTCCCCGCCTCGGCTTGCCAGTCCCTTGCCAGTCCGGACAAGCCACAAGCCACAAGCCAGCCAGGCTGCAAGGTCAGTCAGGCTGCAAGGTCAGTCAGGCTGCAAGGTCAGTCAGGCTGCAAGGTCAGTCAGGCTGCCAAGCCAGGCTGCAAGGTCAGTCAGGCTGCCAAGCCAGGCTGCTAAGCGGCTCGTCTCACCCCGGCTTGTGCCTACCTCGAACCCGGAATGTCATGAGCCTGCTCTACCTAGCATGCTGCACTCACTGTCTGTTCGTGAGCCCATTCGCATGCACTGTTGCGTTCGACAACGTCCGTGTCCCATACTGCATGATTTAAGTGATTTTTTGACACGTCTCAGAAAATCACTTTTATCACATTGCGTGCACTGTTGCGTTCGACAACGTCCGCCCGATACCGCACTCACCATCTGCTGCCCCTGTATCCCCCCCCCCCCCCCCCCTCCCCCCCGGCCCCTCCCCTCCCCAGCACCTTCCCCCTGTGGGGTCTGCCCTGCAGGGGCCAGCTGCACTCCAGTTGCGTACAGTTCAGCAGTGTATTGCCTCTGCCCTCCTGGTTCTGGCATGACCGCAGCTGGTTGCGTCCTAGGTATGCCATTGTCTTGAGAGGGTTATTAGGAATGAGAGAAACAAGTTGCTATTAGATCACGACAAGCATCCCCCCTTTGGCCGTTTGATCCTCTGCTGCATTCACCTCTAACAGATCACTCCTCCGTGTCTTGGCCTTGTTTTATCATCGACACACTTCCAAGCGTTGGCGTATTGCCCCAGCAACCTTGACGCTTGACACCCGTTCCTTCCCTTCCCCTTCCAGACGCCACCCCCACCGTCTCCTCTACCAGCTTCACCTACTACACGCTCCCAGGCTTCCGCGTAACGCCAGCCACCTACACCATGCGCCTCACCTACAACGGCTGCACCAACCTCACAGCCTCCTCTGCGCCAGACATCCAGTCGTATGGCAGCGTGCAGAACGCCCCTGGAGGAGTGGGACAGTGCCTCGAGATTCGCGCTTACTACCAGGCAGGGTGCATCGGAACATATAGTTTGTTTCCTCTCTCGACAGGAACCGGCATCAGCACTACGAGTATTCCGTGAGCCACTGAACCAACCCACCTGCCTCCTCTCTGCCTCCTCTCTGCCACCTCTCTGCCACCTCTCTGCCACCTTTCTGCCTCCTCTCTGCCACCTCTCTGACTTCTCCTCTCTGCCTCCTCTCTGCCACCCACCCCTCCTTTCCCTCTCCATTTTGTGGTTGCTTTCTAGCTCTCCTTGTTTGGTGGTACTCGTCTCTGCTTGCGGACACATTTGTTTACATACACCTACCTGTGCGTTTGCTTGTGCATGCAATAGGGCTTATTACGGGTATCCTTTCCGCTCCTTCGGCTGCTCTATCTTTGGTGAGTGCTGCTGCGTTGGTTGTTTGGGCCATTACACTGGTGGGGTCCATTCTGTTCCTCTCTTTGTCCCTGTATCATCTGGCCCGTTTAGTCAATTACTGGCGTTTCTTTGCTGAGAATGCACTTTGAGTGCACATGTCCTTTTGAAGCTGGCCCCTTTCAATCATTCTTGTTATTTCACATGTTTACTTAAGAAACACTGTGCTGCACATTTCGCTTGTGGTGCAAAAGGCACGCACATGTGCTTCAACCCTCCTTCAACCCATAAACTCCCCTAAGCGCACGAGCTGCTTACATATCCATACCATACATACCACAGTTCCCTTCATACTATCTCCTCACCTCACCTACAGAGAACTGCACTCTCAACAGCTGCAGTGTGAACGGCAAGTGCGTTCAGGACAGTGCAGGAGTGGCCTTCTGTGCTTGTGATGCTGGCTTTGTTCTGCAGCCTGACGGAAGGACGTGCGCTGGTATGTATGTGCTACTATTGTGAATATTTGTGTAAGGACGGAGAATAGAGCTCAACAGTCGTTTGGATTACACACCACGGAGGTTTGCATCGTTGTGGAAAGGAGGTGGGATTGGCTAGTTGGGATCTGGCACTTATTATCTAACCCATATTATCTGGTCCATATAAATCACGAGGAGTATCAACATGCCAATGCTCTCCTGCTCAAGGTCTCGGACCTACCTAGCCTAAGCATAGATTAGCGGAGACTAGAACGAGTTAAGATTGATGATCTGGGTCGAATCTATCTTTCCCTGTCCAAGGTCTCGGACCGCCGAATGGTCGAATTGAAACGTAGATGTGCACCTATTCCCTGTTTAGGTGACTATCCCTACTCTATCAGAGTGAACTAGTGCATGCAGGTTAGGAGTTTTTTGACAGTTGATTGCAGATGTGCACTGCTGTGTGCTGCTCTGTGCTGCTGTATGTTGATATATGTTTCTCCATGCAGTTCTCTCTCTCTCTTCTTTCACTTGTCTTACCTTTTATGCACCATACCACTCCCCTCTAATTTGTCCCTCAGCGGGCTGTGGGACCAAGATCTGCGATCCCACAACTGACTGTGTGAGGGACGCTTCAGGTGGTGCATCCTGTGTGTGCAAGGCTGGCTATCAGAACATCTCCGGCATTTGCCTCGGTACGTGTTTGTGGCCGCAGATTGAAAACCTGTTATTTTTATTGTGTGTGTGTGCGCGTGCGTGTATGCGTGCGGCGCGCGCGCGCGTGTGTGTTTTCTGTTTGTTGTCAATCCAAAAGCCTCTCTAAATTGGTATGCGATTACCAGGCTCATTTCATCCTAACTGGCCTGTATTTGACCAATTCTGTTGCTTGATTTACTGCTTGTGGGTGACGTATCCACTACATCGTCTGTTTGTTGCATCAGTGTGATATGTTCTGTGCTACACTTGACCAAAACGTTCATACATCTGTCGTAACTCATAGCATTTGTGTTGCTCTCTTTGCTTCCATTTATGTTTCCTCTGTGACTAATCATATTGTTCTGTTTTGTTCCATTGTATGTTATGCTGTGTTGTGCCATGCTGCTCCATACCATGTGTAATTTGATGTGATGTGCTATGCTGTGCTGTGCTATGCGGTGATGGTTTATTCTTCTCACTTTTCCATCTCCCCAGGCCCCGCCACATGTGGCAACTGCCCTACTGGAGCCACGTGCACTGTTGCTTTCGGCTACATGCCATACTGCATCTGCCCTGCCGGCTATGCCATGACCAGCACTGGCTGCGTCAGCGGTAAGATCAATGCTCCTTGCGTTCTAGGTATGGCTAATGTTGCTTGCGGTCCACGCATGAAAAGCCATACCCGAACTTGAGCTGAAATGTTTCTGGCACGGCCTGTTCAGCTGCTCTACTTCTGCTTCTGAACACGCTTTCACTCCTCTGCTGAACGTGTCTGCCGCGGTTTTGTGCTGTGCGGTTGCAAGGAAAGGCGAGAACCAACAAGCCACAAGCCCGGTAGCCATCGAGTCGAGCCGGCAGTCTCGCATGAGAGAGATCGAGTGAGCTGATGACAAACCGAGCTGGCTCGGGACTGCCCCCCATAAATTAAGTTCCAACCGACAGTTGGAAAATCGCGCAAATCTGCGTAAATCGTCTAACTTGTTTTGTCGAGTAGATCTGACGAGCCAAGGACGACACATTGTGGTGCCAGAGGCTTGACAGAACGGCCTCCTTTTCGACATATCTCTACAAGTCTACAATTTGGAAAACGGCTCAACGAGTCGGCTCTGCTTGACTCGACTCGTCCGAGCCAAAAATCACAAATTAGGCTCGACTTGTGCGCCCAACACAACCTGTGTGCTTGCCTATTGGTTAAATAGGGTAAGGGAAACGATGGGATGGGATGCCAGATCTTCAATAATGAAAGATCCCAAACAAATGAGGTCGGGATATGAGCACCACCCCCGTCCCCTCTGTGCCTTTCCACCCCCTACCATGCCATGTTGAGCTTCTCCCTCCAGGTGCGCTGCCCACTGTCTCCTCCACCAGCATCACCTTCTACGACCAGAGCAATTACACTATCACACCTAACACCTACACCATGCGCCTGGAATACAACGGCTGCACCACCATCCCTTCCTCAACTTCCTCAAAAATCCGGTCGCTTTTGATCATACACAAGGTGTCCGGAGGGGTGGAGAACTGCTTTTCTGTGAGGCAATACACTCAAGAGGGGTGCGTTGGAACGTACACTTCGTACCGTTCCTCTGGATCTGGGATGAGTGGCATCGGTTACACGTGAGTCACCAATTGCCACCTGTTGCTATCCTAGATAAGAGATTCAAAATCTTACATGCACGCATAAATCATGCTCACGCACATGTGAGATATGCGCATGCAAGCATGACACATGCACGCACGCCTTTGACACGTAAACATCACTCACACCCATGCCTGTGACATTGGAATACAATCTGTGTTCTAATGTTAGCTTTTTTACCCCATCAGTTCCTCCTCCGCTCCCCTCTTCTCTCCCTTGCATGCTATGCCAATCCCCCCCCCAAGTCAAATCTTCCATTTCGTTTCTCAGCCACGCATTGCATCGAAATATTTCTGTCTTACGTTCCTATGTGCTTACCCCCCATTCAACAGAAACTTCCCTGCATATCCATACCGTTCTTTCACCTGCGTTCATTAAGCTCATCCGTACAACTCCTACATAGCAGCTGGAGAGTTGGGGAATGAATCTGCCAAGGCTTTTGGCTGTTCTCGTGTAAAATAATCGGTTTTCCTTGTAGATTGATTTGGGTTGGGATCAGGCCTCAGATTCGTGTAAATACCTAAGCCAAGAGGTTCCTCGGTTTGTACCAAAGATTTCTTCTTTTTATTTTGTCATGGCAACGTGCTTCGTTTCGGTGGTCGATCAGAGCAATTTTGTTTAGGGCGGGTCTAACAATGCACATATTCGCAAAAAACCCTACCCAACCATATGTTGTTCAGAGATTCACTGGTGATCCCCAATTGATCCTAGGCAGGCCCTCAGATTCGTTTTCGGCCTGTCTGATTCGTTAGACTAGTACACAGTTTTAGTATGAAAATGTCAAAAATGAAAGTGTTGGTTTGACTAAGGTTGGTTGGGGTACATAAACCTAACCCTAATAGTTGTACCCCCCATAACACGCATCACTAAGGCTGCAACATTTGACACACCCCCATAGTCTGAGTGAGGGGTGTCAAGCAAAACCAACAGTGTACGGTCACAAAGCCAGTCACAGAGAAACAAAGCTCAGGGTGGATCACAATGTCATCACACACTCCGAGCACAAGCAAAAGAGACACAAGGCCAGTTCAAGAGTTCACAGAGGTGTATATAAAACGTACAGACAAAGCAAGCTGAGAACTCAAGACTAAGCAAGGCGAGAACCTGTTTCAACGAGACCTAACTGCACACAACACCTCTGGTGGTCACAAGGCGGAAGCGCCTTGGTGAAGATGTCTGCAGTATTAGCCTCGGACTCCACAAAGTCGAAGCGAGCCTGTCCACGCTTCTGTAACTCTTGCAGAAGAAAATACTTAACGTTGATGTGCTTCACTCTGCTCTCCAGTCGAGGCTCTCGATAGAGGAGAATTGACGCCTTGTTGTCAGTGAACAAGGTCGGTGCAGAGCTCGGCCGCTCACCAAGGTCGGTGAGCAAGAAGGTCAACCAACGCAGCTCCTGTGCAGCCATGGCTCCAGCGTAGATCTCGGCCTCAGCAGTGGAGGTCGAGACCGAGGAGAAACGCGTGGACCTCCACGAAATAGCTCCAGAGCCCAGGCTGAAGCAGTACCCCTGAGTAGACCTGTGGGTCTCGGCGTCGTCAGTGTAAGAAGAGTCACAATGTCCAGTAAGTACAACAGACTGCTGCCCTCCAAGAACCAGCCCCACACCTGATGTCGTCGCTAGGTACTTTGCCACCCTCACAGTAGCTGTCCAGTGAACTGGACGGTGTCTCCCTGGCACAACAAAGCAAGCAAGAATGCTAAGAGGGAAGGCGAGGTCCGGGCGAGTACAAGTCATCAGGTACATGAGGCAGCCCACAAACTCTGCGTAAGGACCACTAGGCTCAAACAGCTCATTAGGGAAGGGTCCAGTGAGTCTGTGGTCAACACCAAGAGGTGTGCGCTGTACTGTGGAGTCCTAAAGCTCGAACCGCTGAAGGACCTGTTGCACCATGTGTGACTGTGAGAGTGTAATGGTGCGAGCGGCTCTCTCCCTGGTGATCTGCAGGCCAAGGTAGTGGCGCAGCTCACCAAGGTCAGTACACGTGTGTCTCTTCTGCAGTTCGCGCTTCACGTCAGCCAAAGCAACCCTGTCATCAATGGCGAAAACCAGGTCGTCGACGTAGACCAATACAAAGAATGGTGTGGAGCCACACCAAAAAAACAGCGACAGGTCGGCAGAAGACGGCTGGAAACCGAGGTCAAATAGGGTAGAACGAAGGGTGTCGTGCCACTCACGAGGAGCGTGACGGAGACCGTAGACCGGTCGCCTCAGCCTCCACTGGGTCCCAGGAGGGAAACTGCCAGCGAAGGCAGAGGGACGACGCAGCCAGACCTCCTCGTGTAGGCTACCCTGAAGGAAAGCAGTAGAGAAGTCGAGATTGTGTAACTCATAGTCCCTTTGTGCTGCTACGTGCAGTAACACCCGAAGAGTGGTCATTATCGGGGTAGGCGCACAAGTGTGAAAGAAGTCAACTCCCTCGCACTGACTGAAACCTCTAGCCACATAGCGCGCCTTCAAGACCGGAGGAGATCCCGGTGGCCGCTTCACCCTGAAGATCCACATGCCATTGACTACGTTCGCCTCAGGGGGGGGAACCTCATCAACGTAGGTGCCTGTGGATCTGTAGGAGGCCATCTTAGAGTCCATGGCAGCTCTCCACTAAGAAGCCCAAGGCCCTGACACTGCCTCAGCGTAAGTGCGATGAGTCCGTATGTCAAGGGCGTCGGGGTCTCCCTCAGGAGCGAGCAGCATGGCACAAAGATGAGGGAAAGCGGCTGCTAGGAACTCTAGCTAAAACTGCATGTCCTCTAGGGCGTTACAGCCGAGTGGAGACTCACCCCTGACGACCACAGGACTGGTAGGAGAAGCAGCCATAAGTGTCAACGGGAGTTGTGTGTTGGCCCCGTCCTCACTTGGGCGGAGCCGAATTCGTGGTTGGTTGTGAGGGGAGCAGCCGACCAGCAGCAGTGGGCGAGCTGGTTGACGAGGAGGTCGACCTGCACTGAGACCACTCTACGGGCGCCGACTTCATGGTGGCACCGACTTCAGGGAGGTCGACTTGGGAAGTCGACCTGCGGAGGACGTCAACTTGGTGACGTCTTGGGTGGTCGGCTAGCGGACTGCTGGTCGACCTGCTAGTGGTCGACCTGACCTGGTGGTCGATGAAGGAGGGGCCGACGTCGACCTCGACTCAGGACACCAAACTGTTGGGTGTAGTGCAGCTGGGCGTCAACTTGGTGACGCCGACTTTGGGTAGCCGACTTGGGGGTCGGCTGACAACTACGCTGGTCGACATGGAGCTGGTCGACCAGAAGTGCTGGTCGACGCGGAGCTGGCCGACCAGGAGTGACGTCGACCTGAAGTTGGTCGACATGGGGCGTGGTCGATCTGGTGAGGTTGACTTGGAGGTGGTCGTCGACTTGGGAGGTCGACGGGCACGTACGGGAGCAGCTGGTTGACGTGGTTGCCCGGTCGACCAGGTTACCTGGGTGACGAGGTTCTGCGGAGGAGTGCGACGGTCGCCCAAGCGAAGTTGGCGAGTCCGACCTTGGTGGTGGTATCCCGAGGTCAACATGGCGGATCAGGTGGAGTTGTCAGCACGGGGATGACTTGGTGCGTGCGTTGTGCAGGTGATGAGGCTCAGCACGCCAATCATCTGTGAGCACCTGCGAAGCTGGTGCGCTGCTGTTCTGCGGGAGCAATGCTGGCACGCCGTCGACCTGCAGCGTTGGCAAGCCATCGACTTTGCACTGCTGGAACGCGGTCGACCAAGTCGTGCTGGACTGCGGTCGACCATGCTGCGCTGGCAGCCGACCGACTTGAATGCTAGCTCTGATGTAGTCTTGCCATGCCAACTTGATAAGACCATTGTTGTCAACTTTCTCTAGTGAAACTCTTCCCATTTCTCCCAATGAACTAGCAAGCTGTGTATGCACTAGGAAATGACTAAGGACCAACGAACGCAGAGATCACACGAGCACCCGTGCCTAGCTCATAGTCTAGCTCCCGTTCTAGTAGTTATCTCCGCATGGTGCGGTGAGCGTGGACGGCACACGACTTACCTTTCAGTCTGGTCGACGTAGTGGTCACTTACCTAAGTTGCTCATAGGCCGGCAGCCGTACAGTCACTAACGTGCGCGTAGGTGACACCAAGGTGATGGACATCCTGGAGGGACGGCTGGAGGTTGCGAGGAGACGCCATGAGGCCCAGGAATATGGGACGATACCTTGGGCGGTCGTCGAGGCTGGACTCTGCTCTGTGTGGGCGACGGAGCATCCCCCTTCTCGACCGGCTTCTCCTCAACCGGTGACCAACGAAGGCGGCGTCGACGTGGGCGTCAACGCCGGAGGTGGCCAAGTCGGCAGCAGTGGGGGAGGCATGTCAAGGCAGAGAGGTGTGATTCACGCCGATGAAGTCGGTGGCATCCAGGCGCGAGGGGTGCAGTCGTCGGCGGCTGCAGGCTCCTCGTAGGGCGACGTCGGAGGACGACGAAGCAGATTGTCGCCGATGTCGTCGACCCCGGTGATGGCGGGCGGGATTGCACTGAGCTACGGCTACTTCAAATTTGCGCCGGACAGGATCTTGGTCACCCCGCCGCTCGTTGGTTGACAAGACATTCTCACCTGGAAGGAAGCTATCGAGCCCCAGTTTGAGATGGCTGGGCTGATCAACTTTGCTCGAGGTACTGTGGCAACGCAAGACGACCCAGACTTCCGTGCGGAGTTCCGAGCAGTGCAGCTTTTGACCTTCATGGTCATCTCGCGATGTTGCTCGCCGGGCGTGCAGATCACCTTGAAGTGGTGTCGGGAGTACCTCGACGCCGGCCACCAGGCGTGACACTTCATTGAGTCGACCTACCAGGTCACCGACGACTTGTACATCGCCCGGCTGGAGGGGCAGCTGACGCACCAACGTATGGGCGACAAGGAGACGGCGACCAACTACTGCAACCGGGCCCGGCGAATTCTTGCCACCATCAGGATGGCCGACGCGCAGTATTGACGGCGTCGTACGTCATCCACGTCATGCAGGGCCTCTCAAGCAGCTACAACCTCCTAAATTGGCCGTCCATGGCGCTGAGCACGAGGACGACGCTCAACGAGGACAACCAGACCTCGTACATCCTGTAAGACGAGGTGATGCAGGAGGCTGAGCCGTCCCAGGAGCTCTTGGCGCAGGCGCACTTCATCGCCCCGGCAAAGCAAGGAGGCCGACCAGGGCAGCCCGGACAGCCTGGCGGCGGTGGTAGCAGTGGCTCAAAGTCGGCCAAAGAAGTCGACAAGAAGAGGTCGACCAAGGACAGCGGTCGAGGAGGAGGAGCTTGACGTCGGGAGTGCTGGCTTTGCGGCGACCCCGACCACCTCTCATTCGAGTGCCCCGACTGCAGTGACTCTGATGACGACGACAACGCCAAGGGAGGCCGTGGGAGGTCTG